TGCGATGACAATGCCCCCAATCACCAATCAATTAATGGACGATGAAATCTGTAGTATGGTTCTAGATCCAGAAAATACCGCTTCCGATAGTGAAGAAATTGACAGAGATGTTATTGAAAACGAAAAAATTTCATTTAACAAGTTAGTTGGTACTCTCGACACAGCAATTACAGGACCAGTGGAACCTTGTAACTGAACAAGAAATTATGCCTGTTTATAGAATTAAAGAGAAAGTATTAGCACAAAAAACAAAGCAACTTAAACAACTTACATGAAAGAAATGTTTAATAAAGTAAACAGATAAATATTAAGCATTTTTTTTTTTTTTTGTAAATTTTGATACACTTTAGATCATAACTGCTCTTTATTTCATAAATTATGGTTTAATGTTTTTAATTTTATAATTTCTGCATGCCATCTTACCAGATTTAAATTGATGATCTATAATCTGGAAAAACCCCTAATCCGGAATCGAAGTCCTGACGAGTCCGGATTACGGATTTTGTACTGTATATAAAAAATAACATTAAAATAAAAGATTTTCATTTCCCTGTGACCTTGTTTAAACATGCCTTAATCTTTTGTTTTGTTTGTTTTTGACTTGATTCTGAAAGTAAAAAAAAAAGATGAATGTAACGAAGTGCAGTGTTCAAATTACTTTTAAACAAAAGCAGAAAAGCTGCCGTAATTATGTTAAAGTTAATCTTAATATCAAATTCTCCATTTTTACAGTAATATTTTTTGCCTCATAATTATACTGTGTAATTTCTCTTGTAATTCAGTAATAATCCTGTTTTTTTCATTAAAATTCAGGATACTTATATATTAATGCAACCACTTTGTTTCAGTTTGGAGAGTATTTTGCAGATGAAAGGGTAAAAATTACTTATCTGGTGCAAATTGGTTTCTACACCTTTTTAGAGGAAGATTCTTGAACTATTGTAATTTATTGTAAGTCGCAGACATTATCAACACATTAAAGGGAAACATATTTTAGCAATTTCAAATGCAGATTTTAATTATTAACTATCAGGCAAGCCCGCCACCTCAGGGGATGGATGACTTCGTGGTATTCGAAAGTTGGACCGAACACCAGCGTTCAACGGTTTTCCGATGCCTCCGCCCTTTATTCACATATTCTTCCAGAAGACAATGTCTACATGATACACATGCAGAAAATCACGAAAACACTCATGCAGCCAGCGCGCTTGGCGGAATTCGAATGTTGGACCGAACTACCAGCATTAAACGTTTTTGCGCGAGCTGCGCCCGCTTTATTCACGGATGCATCCAGAAGATACTGCATACACTATACACATGCATAAAATCAAGAAAACACTCATTCAGCCAGGCCGTTAGCCGGGATTTTAATGTTCGACCGAATTACCAGTGTTCAGCGGTTCAACGTGGGCTGCGCCCGCTTTATTCACGTATGCATCCACAATATACTTCATAAACATTACACATGCGCAAAATCACAAAAAAACCCATGGAGCCAGAAGGTACGCATGAATTCGAAATTTGGGCCGAACTACCAACGTTATCCGCCAGCTTTTTTCCCGTATGCATCCACAATATACTTCATAAAAGTTACACTCATGCGGAAAATCACGAAAAACCCCATCCTGCCAGCTCGCTCGCTCGGATTCGAAAGTTGGACCAAACTCCAGTGTTCAGCGGTTTTGCGCAGTCTGCGCCCGCTTTATTCACGTCTGCATGCAGAAGATACTGCATACGCATTACACATGCAGAAAATAAAGAAAACACCCATGCAGCCAGTCTGTTCGCCAAGATTTGAAAGTTCGACCAAAGTACCAGTGTTATGCGGCTTTGCGCAGGCTGCGCTGGCTTTATTCACACATGCATCCAGAAGATACTCCATACACTATACACATGCGTAAAATCACGAAAACACTCATGGAGCCTGCCTGTTCGCCGGTATTCGAAAGTTGGACCGAACTACCAGTGTTCAGGGGTTTTGTGCGGGCTGCGCCTGCTTTATTCACGTATGCATGCAGAAGATACTAAGGATTACATAATGCATTAAAAATGAAGCATATTTTCAAATTCCATTATTCTTCTCAATTACACAGCAGTCTGTTTTAGTTTGAAAAAAAAATTTTTTTGCTGTATTGCAAAGACTCTGCTGCACTGACTATGTACCGAATGGATCTCCTCATTGTTGCATTAAAAGATTTTGTGCTAAAATTCTGTATTCCTGCTGAAATTTTACCTACAGTTTCTTCATTGCTGGTAAATTCAGCAAGCGTGTATTTTAAAATCAAGTTTAAGGCAAAAAATATCATGATTTGTCTCTAAAATCTTTTGGAACTTTGAATACAAGAAGAAGAATGCATGCTAAAATGGCAATGTTACTTGACTGAAGGATTGTTATCAGCATGGTTACCAGAGTTTGGAACATTCTGAAAATTTAGTGACTTCTGTTAATGTGATTGTATTACTATGTAGCTGAAAAATTCAGTTTACATTTTTTTCTTAATTTTTTTAAAATAAAAAATGGGAATACACTGTTGGCAGTTCAAAATGAGGCATCACGAAGAGCAAGGTATATTAAAGTTCTGTTTGCTGCATAAATAATATAAGCTATAATGTTTAATTGATTAAAATTATACCTTTGTTCGACTGAACACAAAGAACATTTAGACTAGAAGAGAAACACGCTAATGTGACAATCAAAATCGTAAAAAACAACCTTATATTTAGCGTAGGTATAATGAAACACTCAATCGATTTCGAGGGCAGCTAAAGGTCCCTCCTCATCAGGAGAAAGAAATACATAGAAAGAAGAAATTAGGAGAAGGAGTCACAGAAACACATGGTGCTTATCAGCACTGCACGTGGTTATAACTAGATTTTCAATCAGAGTTGCACTGGCCGCCTACTTTTACTGAGCCAGGCTGTCTGATCAAGCATAAAGAAATATTAGCGAAGTTAAAATAGGGAGCGAGGGGCAAATGCACCTTACGCTCAAAATCTGAACTTCAAATAATGAATAATAACTTTATGCTTGATCAGACAGCCTGGCTCAGTAAAAGTAGGCGGCCAGTGCAACTCTGATTAAAAATCTAGTTATAACCACGTGCAGTGCTGATAAGCACCACGTGTTTCTGTGACTCCTTCTCCTATTTTCTTCTTTCTATGTATTTCTTTCTCCTGATGAGGAGGGACCTTTAGCTGCCCTCGAAATCGATTGAGTGTTTCATTATACCTACGCTAAATATAAGGTTGTTTTTTACGATTTTGACAAAGAACATTTGTTCTGGCTACAATGGCTGGCAGTAACTGTTATGGCACACTTCAGGATAGAAAGAAAGAAGCTTTGGTTGTATGCTTGCTATGTATATGCATTGTCAAAATTCACTTGGTATAACCGTGAATGATATATATCACTTGTTTGCTTGTCATGAGCCAGACGTCGTCATTAGGCAATGACATTAGAATAGTCAGGCCAAGACAGGAGTGTGATCTGGTGAGCAGTACAGAATTGTGAATTATTGTGTGCTGCATGAACTCGTGCATTGTTCTATGAACTTTGCCTCAGATAAGCTTTGAAAATGGACAACATGCTCAAAAACTTCAAAGATGTAATGTCAGTGGTTGAGTATACTAACAATGCATATTAGGCAGGTGTAGGAATAAAATCTAATTGCACCCTAAAGCATAACTCTAGGTGGCAGGTCATTGCATAATGCAAGGATAATGATGTTGCATCAGGAGTGCAGCGCATAAAATTACGCAAGCAGCCACAGGGCCAGATAGCTATAGCTTGTGTGTCCAAAACATTGAAATATAGCCTGAATAGTATTAAAATATATTATAACAGACTTATAAAGGGCCCCATATCTCAAATAGCGTAGGGCCTTATCAAGTATGGCTCTGAGCAGCCAAAATCAGGGGCAGCCGGACTCTCGTGATACCACACCTAAATATTTTAAATTCATAAAATTCAGTGTAAGTACTTTTTATACAGTTTGTCATGTGTAATTACTTAGTATGAAATAAAAATTTTATAAATCATTGGACTTTTTTTTTTTTTTTTTTTAATTTGGGGGTCAACAATCTTAGGAAAGTGCATTGGCAGCCAATGGCCTAGGAAACGCCCCTGTGTTCCATAATGCTGTGCTGCTAGACTGCTGTGTCTGAGTGCTATGCTGTGGTCAAAATGAAGATCCATCTGAAAAGACAGTGTCATGTGCCATTCATATGTCAGTGCCAGACATTCAGTTAATCATTATAACCATAAAAATCTATGGTAATCACAGCAGCGAATGCCTTGCAAAGGTTCCTCTGCTCTGCAGACAACATCAAATGACATGCGGCTGACATAGGCTGTTGTGCTACACAGCCTGATTCTTGCATTAGGATCTTGATAATGTCATGAGGACAACTTGCCTGTTTTCTTGTTGATTGGTGTGACAAAGATGGTGCAATTATTCCCTTTGGTTGAGACCTCTCTCTGGCATCCACAGATTACATATTCACATACATAACTATGGAACGGTTTTGTCCAACACAAGTATTAATTTCTGGGATGTATAATATATAATGCACATTCTCTATTAATCATAATTTTTACTTTGTCAGACTCAGAAACTTGAGACACATTAAAGCTAAGTATAGAAAAGAATGTTGAAGAAAACACATAATTCTTGTATTTGAAGCAGCCTTTTACTGTTCTTTTTATAGTGCTTCTAGCTGGTAATACTGGTGCCAATGATTTACATATCTGATGCAATGTTAGTCCATTGCATGTCCTATTACTACTACTATTCATATTACTACTAAGACAAATGGTATTGATTTGCAACTTGTATGAAAATTTTTTTACATCAATACATTAAATTTAAGTGTTTTTATTCAAAGTTTAAAAGTTTTATTAAACATTACATTAAAATATTCTTTGACCTTAAATTATATAATTTTTTTCTTTATTAGGCTTTTGAATACTGTTTTGATTATAGTCCATTTCGTTTATTTAGATAATTCACAAGATGGGAGCATTTTTGGATAAACCTAAGACAGAAAAGCATAGTGAGCATGGCTGTGGTAATGGACTTTCATATGGTCTCAGCAGCATGCAGGGATGGCGTATTGAAATGGAAGATGCCCACTGTGCATTAGTTGGTCTTCCTCAGGGCTTGAAAGACTGGAGTTTCTTTGCAGTATTTGATGGTCATGCGGGAGCTCGGGTCAGTGCACATTGTGCTGAAAATTTACTGGACACTATCATACAATCTGAAGATTTTCGCAACAACACTAATGCCAATTGCAACAGCCAAGTTACAATTGAAGACGTAGAGAGAGTAAAAAGAGGCATCAGGGACGGTTTTCTTCAGCTAGATGAAAGAATGAGGAAAATTCCTGAGATTGCATCTGGAGAAGATAAAAGTGGCTCAACTGCAGTTTGCACACTCATCTCCTCTACACATTTCTATTTTGCCAATTGTGGAGACTCTCGTGCTGTTCTCTCACGTAATAAACGAGCCTTTTTTATTACAGAGGATCATAAGCCAATCAATCCGGCCGAGAAGGAACGTATACAGAAAGCTGGTGGAAGTGTTATGATACAGAGGGTCAATGGCTCTCTTGCAGTATCTAGAGCTTTAGGTGACTATGAGTACAAACAAGTAGAAGGGAAAGGACCATGTGAACAACTGGTGTCACCAGAACCAGAAGTTGATGTTTTAGAGCGGGACAATGAGCTCGATGAATTTCTGGTTTTAGCATGTGATGGTGTGTGGGATGTTATGACTAATGATGAAATTTGTGATCACATTAGGTATATGATGCAAGTTACTGCTGATTTGGAATATATCTGCAACTGTGTCATAGATGCATGTCTTTGTAAGGTAATAGTTTATTTAATATATATAGAAAGTTAAATTCAAAATATTCAAATCTATGCATATATACTTATGTATTTCTTTATTATAGTGGCCTCCCAAATTTAATCGGCAATTAATCGAGATGTAACATGTAGTGAGGTGCAAGAGCACGTGGCGAGATTTCAGTAAGATATCTTGATTGATTAGCGATTCGATCTTGGGGGGCCATTAAAATAAAGATGTACCATTTTTAAAATGTAGGTAAAATATCTTTTATGTATATCTGTATTAAATATACCAGTAGATAGTTCTATTTAAAAGTACGAGGTACAATTTGTTCTGTTTAAGAACTGGATTAAGGAATATATGTATGGATGTATGTGTTCATGTATGCATGTGTATATATATACACACAAATGTACGTGTGTGTATAAATCTACACGTATACACTCATACATACGTACACACGTGCATACATACATAAATAAATTTCTGAATCTGGTCCCGATAACAAAACAGTATCTATAATTAAATCATAAGTTTACTTTATTAAATTTTATATTAAAAGATATTTGCATTTAATAAATCTGTATTCACTATATTTTGCTTAAAAATAGCTTTGAGATTTCTGAATTTTCTATTGGTTTTGCATTTTATAAATTATTTGTGATTACTCTCTGTAATTCCTTTTTATGATTAATCTTTTGAAGCTAATGTGAAATTTTCTTGAATATTGTGAGGCAAAAACTGCTGATAAAGCAAATATGATAATGAAGGTTGATGAATTTTTCCTGTATTTTCGCTAAAAAGATTTAATTTGACAAATACAGGAAATTTTCATTTCTAGATTTTGCTCCTGCATAAAATTAATTTTTTGAGTTTAAAATTTTATTAAATTTCACTGCAGTCTTTAGTTTAAAAGGAGTTGAGGTAATTAAATTTTAGAATTTTTTATTTTATTCCCTTTATGATTAAATGATATTCCATGCAAGATTCATAAGTCTATTTGTAATTAATTTCTCACTTCTCCTGAAGTATCTTTAATGAAAGAAGTATTGAGTTCATGAACAAAATCAAGTTTCTACTAATTCTTTTTTTTTTTTTTTTTTTGAATTAATTTAGTAATTTTACTTGTCGTTTAGCGCAGTTTCATGCGTATATTTATTATTCTTAATACTTTTTCCACATTTTTTAAAGTATTTTCTTTTAAAGTAAAATGATACTATTAAGTTTTTATAAATTTGTAATTTTTTAAATAAATTTTATATTATAAATAATATATATTATTTTTAAATTAATTTAATAACCCCTTTTTAATGACTTCAGTGTATTTAACAGTATTTAAGATTTTAACATTTGATCTTTCAAAATTCAATCCTATATGTTCAAGGATTGTTTGAGCAGTAATTTAAAATTTAGTTTACAAATTTAATGCATGTTTCTCATATTTTTTTAGCAGTTATTGGCAATGTTTAGCCCACTGCTTAGTGCTGAAAATTTTTCTGGTTGATAAGTAAGGCTCAGAATTTAGACCTGCAGTGAGCGTTTAGTTACTGTAATAACTAAAAAATAAGATTCCCCCCCCTTTTTTTTGCTATATTTTTGTTTTTGCTAAAATTTTGCAGCTTCTTGGGTATTTTAATTTTATTAGATGAAATTTTAAAATAAGAGGATGGAATTTAATTATCATATATAGAATTATTACATTGTTTAAATATTAAATAAACCACATAGGTAATTACTATATACTGTCTGCCCAAAAGTATCTGGACATTCAGCAGTACAGATTTGAAGAGTCCCGAGGCATATATTAATATTATATTGGTGCCCCTATTGCATCGATGATAAAAAAAAAAGCCTGCATACTTCTGGAGAGACTTTCCACCAGTTTTTGATAGATGGCTGTAAGAACTGACTATCAGGTGTCCATCACAGCTGGAAGTGAGAGCTGACAGTGAGGATGGTCGATTTAGCTGGCAACATAATATGCATTCTAATTCGTCCCAGTGGTGAATTTAGATTGGGGTGCTGAGAAGATCAATCCAGTTTTTTAACACACATTTCGTCAAACCATGGCTGTACAAGTCTCAATGTGGCAATGAAGCAGTTATCCTGCTGGGAGAGAAATGAGCCTGCGCATCAGTGGTTTGAAGATTCAATGGTAATCCGAGTTTCTAATATATGGTGGTTCAGCAAAACATAATATCACATCTCATAACAATAAAATTGACAATCAATAAAATATAAATTGATTTTATTAAATATCTCAGAATCTCACATCATCACTGCATCACACCTTCCATCAAACTGTCTAAACACACTCAAAGTGCTCTCAGCGCCGTCTAGCGTTATGCGGGTCTTACCAGAGCCTTTCCTGAATATTGCCATAGTTGGGAGAGCAGCATTGTCCAGAATGTCCACATACATCTGTCCACATACATCGTGTTTACATGTATATGAACTAAGGCACCCAGGCCAACCACGAAAAACACCCCACACTGCCAGACTTTGCCGTTGGCACATGTTGTCAGTAAGAAGTGTTTGTCAGGTATCTGCCAAATGTAGACGTGACCTTCAGACTGTCAAATTGTAAAGTGAGATTCATCACTCCAAAAAACATTTTTCCACATGTCCACAGTCCAATGACAGCTTTGCACCATTGCAATCGACGCTTTACATTTTGGGGGGGTGATGTTTAGTTTATGAGCGGCTGTATGACCATGAAATCACAGTTTTTTTTTTAAATTCGGGACAAAGAGTCCTGCTGCTAACACTAATGCCAGATGAACTTTGGAACTCTTGAGTGATTGTAACCAATGAGGACTTGCGATTTTGTTTCACTACCAATTTTAGAGTTCTACGACTGCATTCACCAATTTTGTTTGGCCTGCCACTTCGTTTTTCTGCAGTTTCACTATCTCAACATTTCCATTTCACAATTACATCACTCACAGTGGATATGGGCTTCTGTAGAATATCCGGAATTTCACAAACTGATTTCCTTCAAAGGTGGCATTCCACTATACTGTCGTGATTGTATGTACTCATCGTGATCAAAGTCGCTAAGCTCCTTTGATGTACTCATCGTCTCACAGATGCATAAATATCACCTGACAAACTACTACTAACACTTTTATTGATTTTGGTTACCTATCAGATTATTTCACCTGCCAGATCCACTTCTTTAGGGGGTTATGTCTGGATACATTTGGCCAGATGTATATATGTATAAACCACATAACTGCCACTAATTGTAATAATTATGTCTATTTGAGAGCTGCCAGATCCACTTCTTTAGGGGTTATGTCTGGATACATTTGGCCAGATGTATATATGTATAAACCACATAACTGCCACTAATTGTAATAATTATGTCTATTTGAGAGCTGCCAGTTTTGATTTACATCTACTAGGTCTCAGGGTTATTGGCCTAAAAATAAATGGGTAATTATATATCATTAATTTTTTCTAATTTCCTCTCTATATTATAGTAAAATATTTCATTTAATTACTTTCTTAGTCTTTCTTTCTAATCCAAACCGTGTTGTCATTAAATAATTATTTACATTTTTATTTTGTAAAATTTATTCTAAAATGCAAGTTGTGTCTTATTTTCAAGTAAGTATGGCCATTTTAATTTATCTCACAATTTGAAATAGGTGCCATAAGGCATTGGCATTTATGACTTAAAAGGTAGTATGAGGCAGTTATCACCATAGATAAAATAGAGGCAAATTTTGTAGCTGTTTGAGCCATTTTGAGGTGACAGTAAGTTTGTAACATGACACCTGAAAAGAAGATCTTCAAAAATTCTTGCAAAGTCCAAGCCTTAAAAGTAAAAATATTAGTGACCTCAGTTCTCATCTGGTTACTTATCTAAGTTCGCTGGCTGGCTGGGAGTTTCTGTCACTTATTGTGTTAGTTCAGTACGTTATTTCATTATTCCTGACCACATTGATGGCCTAATTTCATTTATCTTGTTTTGTGGGATCCTAAGAATTCAGAATTTATCATTCATCCTTCTTTTCATTTCAATGCATCACATTAGTTTCTTCTCTATGGGTAGGAATTACAGTACAAAGTCTTTAATTCAGACTCATTGGAACTTCGGCGATTCCAGATTAGGGATTTTTCTGGATTATAGATCATCAATTTAAATCTGGTAAGATGGCATACAGAAATTATAAAATCAAAAATATGAACCGTAATTTATGAAATAAAGAGCAATTATGATCTAAAGGGTATCAAAATTTACAAAAAAAAAAAAAAAAGCTTAATATTTATTTTACTTTATTAAACATTTCTTTTCAATGCGAGCATGCGTAAAGCATACATTATGCATAATCGAAATTAGAAAATTGCAACCAGAAAACTATTTGATTTGTATTTGTGATATTTATAATGACGAGGAATTTGATTTAAATCATATCGAAGACAGTACATCGAGATGAAATACTACATTATAAGCCAGATAAAATAAAAACATCTGCCCTGAAGATAAGGATAGTGCTGACAGATCAAGTTCCAGTTTATTGTGCGCCGTAACCTCCCCCCTTCCCTCGCAGAGCAGCGTGAAATTGATAAACAAATTTCGGAATGGTTACAGAAACAAAAGAGCCTTTACTCATTTTTTGCAGCAATTCCACTTTTTGTTTGATGGACATCGAAACATGCTTTCTCTTTGTAGATCCAGCATCGAAAATTCTGCTTGACATAATCGAAAGTTCCAACTTGCTTTTATAAAATTGCTCTTAACAGTCTGTAAAAAATAATAAGCTGGTTCTAATTTAAAGATTAAGGAACAATGCAATCTGCAACATTAACTGAAATAGATAATTAGATAATTTTAGCTTAGCCTATACCGTCCGTTTTACATTAAACGCTCATGCGTAAACGTATTATGTGCATGCACCAACGCAAAGCATGTGCAGAAAGTTTGTAGCTTGAGGTCCGGATTATGGGTGTCCGAATTAACGACTTTTGACTTTATTGTATGTTTTTTTTTTCAACATTTACCATCTTTC